ATCTATCTGCTGGTTCCTTGGGGAGGGAAGGTTGCCCCAGAGCTCCCCATCCTAGCCCCAAGAGAGACAGTGACAGCGGGTCAGTGCAGGCCCAGGAGAGGACTTTGGAAGTTTGTCTACCCCTTTGTTCCTCACCCCTCTCCTTAGCCTTGGAAGAACATCAGGGCTACAAGGAGTATCTGGATTTCTGAAGGGACATGAGCATCCACCAGCAGGGCCTGGAGCCAAGAGTCTGGATCATTATTGGAACTGTGCTGGGATCTGGGACCCACTGAAGCCATGTTATTATCTGAGGCTTTCAAGTAAAGATATTAACCACATCCAGCCTCGTGGTGCCTTTTTTAGGTCAGAATGCTGCTCTGAAGAGAGTGAGAGTGAGTTCTACTGGTATCTCCTGGCTGTTTAGCCTGAAAATGGTAGGCCAGTGTCTAAAACCCCTGACACAATAGGATCCTTCAGGATGGAGAGTGGGGGAAGGGTCCAGTAAATATGTCACATTTACCCAACCTTCTTTTCCTGAATGAACACAATGACTGATCGGCACAGATCACTCACTGTGTTCATTCATAACTGCAAAGTCTTAACATGTATTTTTTTTTGGGAGGAGGGGAGCCTGTCAGGTTGGCTGTATGGGGTCCTGTGGATTCTAACAGCAGCCCTGGTGGCAAGGAACCTGGATGAGGCACTTAGGTGTGCTGGCTTCACCAAGTTAAAGGACAAAAAAAACCCCTGTGAGGATGGGTTAAACAGGGTTGGAAGGGAGATGTGGGGAAAAATAGGAGATGTCCTAAGAGCTGTTATTTTGGGCAAATAGAAGGACAGCACTAAAGCGTGGTCCGGCCGGACACAAATTTGTTCCAAATAGGATCAAAGATTTTATTACAGAGCCTAAGCATTTCGGAGGCCAGGACAAAAGTTGTGCAAATTTTACAGTGTGTTTTCTTTAGAAAGCAGCCTCAGCCCGAGTAGAAAAGCATGTCCCATGCTAGCATGCTGCAGGGAAGGACCTGTGGAAGCAGTGGTCTCTCTGCAAAGGTCATACCTCTAACTCTGCCACCAGCAAAGCTTATGCTGCCTGCTGATTGGAGAGCTTTAGCTCAGCAGTAGGCTAGTGGGATCTTTGCAGAGAAACCGCAGCTTCCACACAGAGAGTAAAGGTGAAGCCTGCTGGCAAGTAACAGCCTTTTGTCCTCAATCTGCTTTCTTAACCCCTTGCATACATGGGCAATTTTGATATTTTTTCACATACATGATAACTTTTGCATTTTTCTCTCTTAATTGCTAGAAAATTACTTAGAACCTCCAAACATTATATACACTGCTCGAAAAAATGAAAGGAAGACTTTTTAATCAGAGTCTAGCATCAAGGCAGTGAAACTCCTGGGATATTGATCTGGTCAGGTAAGTCGCAGAGGGGGTTGTTAATCAGTTTCAGCTGCTTTGGTGTTCATGAAATTAACAACAGATTCACTAGATGGGCAACAATGAGACAACCCCCAAAACAGGAATGGTTTTACAGGTGGAGGCCACTGACATTTTTTCCCTACTCATCTTTTCTGATTGTTTTTCACTAGTTTTGCATTTGGCTAGGGTCAGTGTCACTACTGGTAGCATGAGGCCATACCTGGACCCTACAGAGGTTGCACAGGTAGTCCAACTCCTCCAGGGCGGCACATCAATATGTGCCATAGTCAGAAGGTTTGCTGTGTCTCCCAGCACAGTGTCAAAAGCATGGAGGAGATTCCAGGAGACAGGCAGTTACTCTAGGAGAGCTGGACAGGGCCGTAGAAGGTCCTTAACCCATCAGCAGGACCGGTATCTGCTCCTTTGTGCAAGGAGGAACAGGATGAGCTCTGCCAGAGCCCTACAAAATGACCTCCAGCAGGCCACTGGTGTGAATGTCTCTGACCAAACAATCAGAAACAGATTTCATGAGAGAGGCCTGAAGGCTGAATGTCCTCTAGTGGGCCCTGTGCTCACTGCCCGGCACCATAGAGCTGGATTGGCATTTGTCATTGAACCCCAGAATTGGCAGGTCCACCACTGGCGCCCTGTGCTTTTCACAGATGAGAGAAGGTTCACCCTGAGCACATGTGACAGACATGAAAGGGTCTGGAGAAGCCGTGGAGAATGTTCTGCTGCCTGTAACATGGTTCAGCATGACCTTTTTGGTGGTGGGTCAGTGATGGTCTGGGGAGGCATATCCATGGAGGGACACACAGACCTCTACAGGCTAGACAATGGCACCCTGACTGCCATTAGGTATGGCGATGAAATCCTTGGATCCATTGTCAGACCCTACACTAGTGCAGTGGCTCCTGGGTTCCTCCTGGTGCAGTGGGTCCTGGGTTCCTCCTGGTGCAGTGGGTCTTGGGCTCCTCCTGGTGCAGTGGGTCCTGGGTTCCTCCTGGTGCAGTGGCTCCTGGGTTCCTCCTGGTGCACTACAATGCCCGGCCTCATGTGGCGAGAGTATGCAGGCAGTTCCTGGAGGATGAAGAAATTGATACCATTGAATGGCCCCCACACACGCCTGACCTAAATCCAATAGAACACCTCTAGGATGTCATGTTTCGGTCCATCCGATGCTGCCAGGTTACACCTCAGACTGTCCAGGAGCTCAGTGATGCCCTGGTCCAGATCTGGGAGGAAATCCACCAGGACACCATCTGTGGTCTCATTAGGAGCATGGCCCGATGTTGTCAGGCATGCATACAAGTACGTGGGGGCCATACAAACTACTGAGGACCATTCTGAGTTGCTGCAATGACATTTCAGCAAAATGGACGCGCCTGCTGCATTATTGTTTCACTTTGATTTTAGGGGTGTCGGGATATCAGTATAGAGATCCAGCAGGAGATTCTCCCCCGTTGAGATCTTATGGGTTTTTAAAGTCTTCCTTTCATTTTTTTGAGCAATGTATTTTCTGAAAGCATAGGCCTTGAAGAATAAAATGGTTGCTGTTTCCATTTTTTTGTCAGGCAATATTTGCGCAACCATTTATCAAATGCAACTTTTCTGGAAAAAATACACTTCAATGAATATTAGTGCTCAGAAACACAATATAATACTCAATTTTTTTTTTCAGTAAAATATGAAAGGTGATTTTGTATCAAGTAAATAGATAACAAACATGTTAAGATTTAAAATTGTACACTCCTGTAAAATGGCAACAAATACCTAAATACTAGATACCTAAAACTGCCCATAAGTGACGCTTCAAAAGCCTTTTCAGGTTATCAGTTTAAAGCTAACCATAAGTTAGAGTTCTAGGATAAAGCCTCTGTATTCCAGAACGCAATCAAGGAGTTAGAAAACCCAGTGAAAACAAAAAAAAAAAACAGGTTTCTGTGCTCAAAATCGATATTCTGGAGCCCCTCAACCTGCACTTGTGAGAACATTGTGTGACATTTAATTATTCTAATACAGTGGCAGAGCACAGCATGGGGCCTACTCCCAGAGGAGATCAGGGAATGGATGATCTCCTTTGTGGGCAGCCTACTCAACCACTGACAGTGGTCCAAGACTTCCCAATGGAATGGGAGAGCCCAAGAGCATAAGGTTGCAATGGGAGGGACCCCTTCTGAGTGCTGTTAAAGTAATCTGGTGGCTGTAAAGCCACTCAGAACACTTTTACTGGAAAGTCAACTGTCATCTCTAAAAAATGCCATAGATACGGCCTCTGAGCAGCAAGCGGTTAAAAAACTGTAGGACTATAAACATCTTTTGTTTTAACGCACCTGGAATTTATTTATCTGATTTAAACTGAAGGTTCTGTTGGGATTTAAAGCGCTCTTTTTATGTTTGCCTGCAGTTCTGACTTTAGGTGAAATTGCTGTAATATATGGCATTACAGTAGATTCTAGACCTGTGCCATTTAAAATATAGCATCTGTTATTCAGATAAAAACATTTATCATATGCTTTCCAAAGAAATGGGGAATCCTGCTCATAAACCTTGCTCTGCAGCTTTCTTGACTTGCTACAGGCATCATATTCGAATGACCTGAGCTGCAACTGCATGAAGAACCATCCTTCAGACTACATTAGAGATGTTCACCAGACAACTCTGTTTGTGGCTGGGAATTTCGATGCATTCCTCTCGAAGTAGGGACGCTCACCTGACATTTAACTCCATTTGGGGAAAGGTCATGGATGGGTAAGTGACTTCCTGCATGTTAAGAATTAAATGGTTCTGTCCTATCAACCTTGTCCAGCTGCGTGATTTACATTTTCTTTTTCACAGATGAGGGTGGGAATGAACTTACAGAGTTTTCCATACACAACCTCTGGGACATGACATGAAGTCAAAGCTATGTCGAGAGTTAAATTAACTTTGTAATCCTTGTTTGTCAAAACTTTTCTCTCATGCATGAACTGAATGAGCATGGATTTCAAGGTCAGTGAGTTTTTTTTGTCTAAATTTCCTTGAAAAATTCATGAAGATATTCCTAGAAATCTGGGGGCATTTTGAGTCAAGGTTTCCTTGGGTTTTCAGGTCATTGTTCTAGATATGATAATATCTATAATAATATTAAAATTGGTGGACTCTTAAACTATGGGCAACCAAAAAAGGGACAATTTGGTGCTGAGATAAAAATATTGTAAGTAGACAAGGTGCTTCTGCTTCTATGCTTGAGAGGTCAGCCATTCTCCATCAGGGTACCGTGGAATCCTAGAGTTCCTCCAGAAGTTGTTAGGGGTTTCTTGAGCTGGTTGACCACCAGTGTAAGGAGCATTCTTCCCACTGACCACCAAGGTAAGGACGATTTGTTCCAATGACTCCAAATGTAAGGGTCATTCTTCCAATGGACCACCAATATAAGGAGTATTCTTCCCATTGACCACCAATATAAGGAGAGTAAGGATTCTTCCCACTGACCACCAATATAAGGAGCATTCTTCCCACCGACCACCAATATAAAGAAGATATTCTTCCAAATGGCCATCAATATAAGGAGGATATTCATCCCATGAGCACCAATATAGGAAGCTTTCTTAACATTGACCACCACTGTAAGGTACATTCTTCCCCTGACCTCTAATGTAAGGAGCATTCTTCCCACTGACCATCAATGTAAGGAGCATTCTTCCCACTGACCACCAATTTAAGGGACATTCTTCCCATTGACCTCCAATGTAAGGAGCATTCTTTTCATTGACCACCAGCATAAGGAGGACATTCTTCCCAATTACCACCAATATAAGGAGCCTTCATCCAACTTACCACCGATGTAAGAAGCATTCTTTTCACTGACCACCAATATAAGGAGCATTCTTCCCACTGACCACCAAGGTAAGGACGATTTGTTCCAATGACTCCAAATGTAATGGTCATTCTTCCAATGGACCACCAATATAAGGAGTATTCTTCCCATTGACCACCAATATAAGGAGCATTCTTCCCACCGACCACCAATATAAAGAAGATATTCTTCCAAATGGCCATCAATATAAGGAGGATATTCATCCCATGAGCACCAATATAGGAAGCTTTCTTAACATTGACCACCACTGTAAGGTACATTCTTCCCCTGACCTCTAATGTAAGGAGCATTCTTCCCACTGACCACCAATTTAAGGGACATTCTTCCCACTGACCACCAATTTAAGGGACATTCTTCCCATTGACCTCCAATGTAAGGAGCATTCTTTTCATTGACCACCAGCATAAGGAGGACATTCTTCCCAATTACCACCAATATAAGGAGCCTTCATCCAACTGACCACTGATGTTAGGAGCATTCTTTTCACTGACCACCAATATAAGGAGCATTCTTCCCACTGACCACCAAGGTAAGGACCATTTATTCCAATGACTCCAATATAGGAAGCTTTCTTAACATTGACCACCATTGTAAGGTACATTCTTCCCCCTGACCTCTAATGTAAGGAACATTCTTCCCACTGACCATCTATGTAAAGAGCATTCTTCCCACTGACCACCAATTTAAAGAGCATTCTTCCCATTGACCACCAATTTAAGAGACATTTGTTCGCATTGACCACCAATGTAAGGAGCATTTGTTCCACTGACCACCAATGTAAGGGACATTCTTGCCACTGATCGCCAATAAATTAATTTTAGCAGGAGTTCCCTGAAAATTACTTCAAGGGTTTCCTTGGGTAAAAGGATGGAATAGATCATGCCTGAATTAGGGTTTGTCTCAGAAAAATGTGGGGTGAAACAGGAAGATGAGGTAACACCAATGCTAATACCTACATTGACATCAACAGATTATTCACCATGGATCAAAACCAATTCAACTGAGCCAGAGAGAGCAAGTCCCATTTCATGGCACAAATATAGCAACTCCCTCAAGAAGGTGAAGAAGACACTTCAGGGCAGAGGAGCTGCAATATTCCTGTGCACTGGTTGATCAGACTTTATGGGACAGGAGACCCTGCAAACATCATTTTTCTATCTTTGGGGCGAAAGACCCTTCATCATTTTCAGGAAGGTCGAGTACATGACTGTGTCTGAAGATCTGAGAATGTGCAGCTTGTAAAGTAGAACATAGAATCAGGGCTGTGCATGCATCTACAAATTTTCTAATGCACATGCACATTAGTTGAGTTTAACATGCTCATCTGACATTGACTTTTGGTGCCTATTTTAGGCATAGTAGAGCTAAGAAGGAATGATGAATGATCATCAACTTCGGTGACTTGGTATCAAGCATGCTAATTATCTTGAGTTGTGACCTGGCTTACTTCTTGACTTTGCTTGATTGTGGGTTCCTGTTGCTGACCTTGGCTTATCTCCAAACTCCATCTTCTGCTGTTTTGTACTTCTGTTATTGACACCGGCTTGACTTCTGACCTTGCTCCTGTCTTCTGAATTGGTGCCTCTTCTGCCCGGATGTTGCTGACCCTGCTTCATTTTGGCTATGGCTTTGATTCCTGCATCTTCGAGTTCCTGTACTCCATTGGTGTGACAACATTCTGTAGGCAGGGCAATTAGAACGTGGTCATAATTAACGTGGTGATACTTCCAAGAGGCTTTTTTTTTTTTGTTTTGTTTTCTTCTTTTTCTTCTCATAATATATTCAATCTCCCCAAACTGTTTTTGAAGCCTCTGGACTCCAGGACTCAATCTGGAAGTTACAAAACCCAGAGAAAACCAGGTTTCTGCACTCAAAACAGTATTCCGGAGCTCCTCAACCTGCACCTCTGAGAATATTGTATGACATTCAATCCCCCTAACACGATGGCGTGGCACAGCACTGTCACACTCCTTACAGATCTTCCAGTCAATACATTGTAAAGTGTAAAGTGCTCTCCTGGAGGCTTGTTGTGTTTTTCTTCTTTCTTTTCTCCTCATAATGTATTCAAACTTCCAAAGCCTCTGGACTCCAGGACCCAATCTGGGAGTTACAAAATCCAGAGCAAACTTAAAAACCATGTTCCTCAACTTGAAACAGTATTCCGGAGCCCCTCAACCTACAGTTGTGAGAACCCAAAGCCTGATGGTCTCTAGTAAAACATGGAACCAGGGACAGAGGCTTTTCCACCCTCAAAATCTCTTTGAAGCCTCTGGATTCCAGAGCCCAACCAGGGAGTTACAAAACCCAGAGAAAACTGAAAAAAAAACAGGTTTCTCTGCTCAAAACCAATATTCTGGAGCCCCTCAACCTGCAACCACGAGAACCCTGTGTGACATTCAATCCTCCTAGCACAGCGGCAGCACACAGCACTTCCAATTAATACATTATAATGTACTTTTCAGGAGGCTTTTTTTGTTTTTCTCTTTCTCTTCTCCTCATATAAAGTAAATTCAAACTCCAAAAGCTCTTTGAAGCTTATGAACTCCAGTATCGAATCTGGGGGTTACAAAACCCAGAAAAAAATGAAAATAAAACAGGTTTCTCTGCTCAAAACCAATAATCCGAAGCCCTTCAACTGGTACATGTGAGAACCCTGTGTAACATTCAATCCTCCTAACACATTGGCAGGGCACAGCGCTGTTACAATTCTTACAGGTCATCCAATTAATATGCTGAATGGTGCTTTCCAGGAGGCCTTTTTGTGTTTTTCTTCTTTCTATTCTACCATAATATATTCAAACACCCAAAGTTCTTTAAAGCCTCTGTATTCCAGATCCCAATCAGGGAGTTAGAAAAAAACTGAAAAAAACAGGTTTCTCTGCTCAAAACTGATATTTTGGAGCCCCTCAACCTCTTCGAATCCTCTGGATTCCTGAACCCAATCAGAGAGTTACAAAACCAAAAGAAAACTGAAAAATAGGTTTCTCTGCTCAAAACCAATATTCTGGAGCCCCTTAACCTGCACTTGTGAGAACATTGTGTGGACATTCAATCCTTCTAACACAGTGGCAGGGCACAGCACTGTCACATTCTTTACAGGTCTTCCAATTAATACACTATTAGGTGCTTTCCTGGAGGTTTTTTTGTGTTTTGATTCATTCTCTTCTCATAATATATTTAAACTCCCAAAGCTCTTGGAAGCCTCTGGACTCCGGGACCCAATCTAGGAGATTTAACACACCAGGGTTTCATTTTGCATTTTTTTTCTTTCTCTTATCTTCTTTGAGACTACTCAAACTACAACATCTTAGGGCGCCATTTGCACAAATTTATGTTTTTGGGTTCAAATGCACTTTAAGCTACAGCTGACATGGGTATAAACATTAGACGACCCCGGGTTGTGTACCACGATTGTGTGGAACTTACATGGCTGTATATTGTTGTTTATATAACGGATTCTAGAAACTATAAATATGGATTATATTTGTTTAGGCACTGATTTGTTAAAAAAAAAAAAAAAAAAGCCACTATTCCATCCAAATAAAGTCACGTGTCTACATTGCAGCAGCTGGAAAGTAGAATATATCACCGGCCTTTTTGGTTCTGTATGTTATACAAAAGCTGTCAACAGTTCCAGAATTTCGCTTTGCACATAGAGCGTACGGCGAAGTTTTGTGGCTGTGATGAGATGCGAGCGGAGTGAATACACTTTGTTTTGTACATCTTAACAAGAATGACTTTGGACAGCCATTGCCAGAGGGCTGCAGTAAAACTCATTTGGCTTCCACACATTCCTGAATGCAATGTTCACAAAAATAAACATTTTCACAAAGAAGCTGGGGAGATGCCAAGCTCGGTCCGGCCAAGACAGACACAGCATAGTACCATGCCATCAGCCTTCCACTTTTTTTTACTACAAATGTCAATATGTACTGCAGCCTGTACCCGTATTTTGCGGCATTCATTTTTTTTTTTTTTAAAGTCCATCTAAACCTTTAGTTTAAGGGCCCTTTCACACTGCTCCATTGAAAAAATATGCTAAAAATGCATTTTAATATTTGCTGCATTTTTTTAATGTGTTTTTGGTGCGGTTTTGCTGCTTTTTCTGGACTCCTGACTCCAATCATGTACCTGTGAATTGGACATGTTACTCAAAAAGCGCAACCAAAAAATGCACCACAGTTGATTCAACAGAAATCAATAGAAGATGCGTTTTTTTAGTGCGCTTTTCGAAATGTGATGCATGCGCAACAGCAACACAGGATTTAAAGGGATACATTTTTAATGCATTTTTTTCTTCACCTTTTTTACCCAAAGAACGCATCAAAAATGGATCAGTGTGAAAGGGCTCTAAATCAGCTAAATATATTCCAGGTGCATCAACAAATCTTACAGTTGGTTTTATTCAGAAAGCAGCCACAACCTGAGTAGAAAAGCCTGTCCCCTGCCAGCAGATGGTAGCGAAGGATCCTTACTCCCTGTGTAAAAGCAGTGGTCTCTCTACAGAGGTCTGATATGCCCCCTTTTAAGTTAGAGCTAGAGCAGACCAGATATTTCAGCCCACATATTTATACCATGGAACATTTTTTTTTTAATAAAAATGAGCCCTGCCTCATTTACATAGGAGGTTGGACATCTGTGGGTCTTATTTTAAAAGGGAATGTCTGGATTCCAATAAGTGCCCCTCCACTGACCCCCACATCTTCATGGTCAAGAATACAGGGAAGAAACCCTTGTCCCAATCAATGCTGAGACAAGGTGCTTTGCCAGGGAAAGAGGCCCTGTCAAGGTTCCCTATCCCATGTAGAGGGCATATGACCTGGTATGGTTCAGGAGGCTGAAGGGGCACACAATCACTGATCATGACCTGGCTGCATGCTAGTATAAGAGTCTGGAATAGCATTTGGAGAGAACCCCACACCTGGGGTACCCCCATAAAATCCATACCATACCAACATGTTCTGGTAGAATTTTGCCTTTTTTTTGTGGGGTCCCTTTAAAATCCATAGAGGACCCTATCAAGGAGAATTGTCTGATATGGATTCTGGGACAAAAGTCCCCTTTGTGAATTTTTTGACAGGTTTTTTTGACAGGTTTTCTTTAATAAAATCTGGGGTCTTTTATTGGGCGCACGTAGGGGGAATGTGTGGAAGCAATGGGGCAGCTATACCTGGATGCTGTAGCAGGTAGGGGCATGTGGGGTAAAACTCCACATGCTGCTGACTTATGGCATATGTTGACAGTGGTATATTTAGGTTTTGTATTGCCCTAGGCACACAAAAATTGGTGGACGCCCCCATGGAGACAGCCTGACACTGGCCAACACCACATCACCCCGCACCCTCCTATGGAGAGAGCCTGACAATGACCAACACCAACCACCCCCTCCCCCAGCCCTGGTCATAAGAGCCTTCCACCACATTCACATGAAGGAAGGGGTGCAGGCTGTCTGATATCCACAGAAGTCTACAGAATGTTTATGGAGATGAAACCATTGAGAAGAGCAATGTCTCGTCATTGGAGACTATTGTCAGTGGTGTCCTCTCCATAAGCATTTGGTAGTTCTGTGCTGTTGACGAAGGAGTTCTTGATGAAGAAGGGGTGCCAGCTGTCCAACTCCACAGGAGAGTAGTGACCAGTGACATTGCTCTTGTCAATGGTGTCACCTCCATAAACATTCTGTTGATGTCCTCTCCATAAGCATTTCGTAGTTCTGTGCCGTTGACGAAGGAGTTCTTGATGAAGAAGGGGTGCCAGCTGTCCA